GGAGGGAGGGTGGGGGGGGTGGAGAATTCTGTTTTGACCACACATGTTAAATTTGAGATCAATGGTACCTAAAATAGAGGTCAGGAATCTGGAGTGCTGGCCATTTAATGATGTGAGTCAAGAGATATGAGTGGTATTTAAAGCCACAAGCCTGGGAAAGATCACCAGGTGCTTGTGTGTAGACGGAGGCCCGGGGCTTAGGCTGGGGCACACAAACAGTGATCTGGCCGCGGGAAGGGTCCGTAAGAGAGATGAGTGAGGGCTTTGGACTCTCGGGCTTAATGGCTACTTGCCCCTAAGCCTCCCAGGAGAGGGCTGGAGGTGGTGGGGACTGAATGGGAGAACCGGTAGACAGCGAATGTGGACGTAGGTTTGGAGACGTCTGCCGTGGAAGGAAGCAGAGATGAGACAGAGGCTGGTGAGACTTAAGGTGGACTTTTAAAAAAATCTGAGAAACCAGGTCAAACCAGGGCAGGCTTGAGCGGGGGGATGGAAAGGAGAAAAGGTCTAGAGAGAGCCTTCTCTGTTCGCCCGAGGAAGTGGGGCTTCGAGGCCCCCCCGGCCCCCAGCAGGCGGCAAGCCCTACCACAGACTGTCCAGGTGCCCAAGGACTGGGGTGCACCGACTGGGCATGCGCACTTGGCACCTGGTGCCACTGTTCGCGCATGCCCTGCGCCCACTTCCGGGGCGGGTCTGCGGGACCCGGAAGTCGTTAGGGAACTCGGTCGAGAAGTCGGCTTCTAAATCGTTTGCTGTCGTTTTTCCTCACTCGCTGGTCCTGGCACTGCTACCGCTCCCGCCGCCATGGGGAAACGGCAGCATCAGAAGGACAAGATGTAAGTTGAACCGCAGCCGGAAGCGCGGCCCCGCTCGGCCTCAGTGCCCACCTGTCCCGCAGTCCGCGCCGCCCTTCTTCCCTCTCTCAGAGCTGGTTCCCAGAGCCACTCTTAAATGCCGTTTCGTCTCGGAAGCCTTTGTCTCCTCCAAGGCAGGGGAATTACCCCGACCGCCGAGGTCTCCCGGGTTTCTTGGTACTAACACCGTCAGTGCTTCTGAGCGCGGCCTTCCTACCGCGTCGGCGCCGTGCGAGCCCCGGCCCCTCGGCTCCTCGGCTCCTCGGCTTTTGCCCTGGAACGCCCCATCTCCACTCTCGAATTCTGCCCCTAATCAGCCCCTCTTTCTCCTCCACCTCCACCTGTGTGCCGTTCATTGGCTTACACACATCCGGAATCTTCCATTTTAAAACAAACCAGCCTTGCCCCGTGCTCCTCTCCTGCCACCGTGGTTTTTTTTTTCTTTCTTCCGAACAAGGCGTCAAAGACCTGTGTCTACTTGCTGTTTTCTGCTGTTTCTTGAAACCGCTCCAGTCAGGCTTTTCTCCCCAGCACTATTCCTGTCAGGATCCTAGTAACTTCTCTGTTGCTAAATCTAGTGGTCAATTCCCAGTTCTCGTTTTGTTGGGCTTGTCAATAGCGTGTGACACGGTTGACCACCTTTCTCCCTCTGAGGCCCTTCTTTGATATCTGAGACCCCATATGCCCTTTTCCATTTGTTTTCCATCTGTCTCAATGGCCTCTCTCAGTCTCCTTTGCTGGGTGTTTCTCCCACTCTCTCAGACTTCATACGTCCATGTCCCCCACGTTTCTTCTCCCTTTACATTCTCCCTGGTCATCTCTCATCTTGCAGTGGTCAACTGCTTACTTGATATCTCCAGTTGGAGGTTTGATAGACATCTCACATTTACTTACAAAAAATTTTTTTAATGTTTTTATTTATTTTTAAGACAGTGAGAGAGAGAGAGACAGAGCACCAGTGGGAGAGGGGCAGAGAGAGAGGGAGTCACAGACTCTGAAGCAGGCTCCAGGCTCAGAGCTGTCAGCACAGAGCCCGATGTGGGGCTCCAACTCACAAACCGGGAGAGATCGTGACCTGAGCTGAAGTCAGAGACTCAAACGACTGAGCCACCTAGGTGTCCCTACATCTCACATTTAATATGTTCCCCCCTCATTTTCCCTATCTCAGTGGTCATACTGCTTGCTACTTAGTTTACACAGGTCAGAAGTCTGGGAGTTAGCCTTGGTGCCTCTTTCCTGAGGCTCTCTCCTCCCCCTGTTCATCAGTAAATCCTGTGGCTCATCCAGGAAGTAAATGTGGAATAGGAAGGCACTCACTAATCCACCAAACCCCTCAGTAGGTGGAGTGTATTTCATTTCCTTTGACATTTTTATTTTTTTATTTATTTTTTATTAAAAAAAATTTTTTTTAATGTTTATTTATTTTTGAGACAGAGAGAGACAGAGCATGAACAGGGGAGGAGCAAAGAGCGAGGGAGACACAGAATCGGAAGCAGGCTCCAGGCTGTGAGCCATCAGCCAAATGAAACCCGGCAGTGGGCGCTTTCACGGGCTCATAGACTCTTGAATCGCGACCCTGAAGCTGAAATCGGGGCAGCAACCGGAAACACAAGCCCTATTTTTTTATTTTTTATTTTTATTAAAAAAAGTTTTTTTTTAACGTTTATTTATTTTTGATACAGAGACAGAGCATGAGCATTAGAGTGCGTGTTGGTCAGAGAGAGAGGGAGACAGAGAATCTGAAACAGGCTTCAGGCTCTGAGCAGTCAGCACAGAGCCCGACACGGGGCTCAAACTCACGGACAGTGAGATTGTGACCTGAGCCGAAGTCGGACACTTAACCTACTGAGCCACCCAGGCACCCCTCCTTTGACATTTTTAGATGCCTCCTGATTGGTTTTCTGTTGCCTCTCTTGCTTGTCCCTCTATACACAGCTGCCGGAGTGATGCTTTGAGGACTTATGTTAGAGCATGTCAGGGCCCTACTCAGAACCCTCCAGCCGCTTTCCATACCGCTTAAAGTAGATCCACAGCCATCACACAGCTTGTGGGGCCCCTCGTGATCCAACTGCTAGCCTTCTTCACCTGCTGCCACATACCCCCGTGCACACTCTTCTTCAGTGACTTCACCCTTTTCTGAAGACACACCAGCTTTTTCTGTGTCAGGACGTTTATATGGGATAAGCTTGCTTGGTCCCTCTGCCTAGAAAGCTCTTCCTGCACATCTTCACATGGCTTGCTCCTTTGCATCATCAAGCCTTCTGTTAAATTCTGTTCATTTCCTTCAGAGCAGAGCAGGAATGTTTGTATTTGCTTACTAGTTTGTGTATGTCTGTGTTGCATCTCACACATTATAGGTGTTTAATAAGCATTTGCTGAATGAGTGAAATGATTTAATCATCAGTTACTTCTAGAGACTGTCCTCTTTATAAAGGGGGGTGGTAATAAGATTCTCTGTCTCTTCTTCAGGTACATTACCTGTGCTGAATACACTCACTTCTATGGTGGCAAGAAACCAGGTAAGGCATGAAATCTTTCTGTTTTCCTTGATGTGTGTGTGTGTGTGTGTGTGTGTGTGTGTGTGTGTGTGTGGCGGGGCGGGGGGTGGGTGTTGTAATTAAGGGATGATGTTTTTACTACACAATGAGACTATAAAAATTAACAATGAACAAGAACACAAAGTGTAGCAGACAAATGGGTTGAGAACACAGATGATTCACAAAACAAGATGAAATAAAAAGAGCACATTCTCATAATTGTTGACCGGGGTAAAACCAGCACAGGATTCTTGGAAAGCAAAGCCAGGCCCCACAGCAAGGGTATTAGGATTATGGGAGAAACCCAACCCCAGCGGCTTACGCAAGTATGTCATTTTTTCTCTAAGTTCTTTCTTGATGTAATCCATGTGTCCTACCTATTGAAAGGTTTTTAATCCACAGCAGTTTTTGCACTAGGTAATTCACATGAACTTTTCCTTATTTATTTATTTAATTTATTATTATTATTTTTTTCAACGTTTATTTATTTTTGGGACAGAGAGAGACAGAGCATGAACGGGCGAGGGGCAGAGAGAGAGGGAGACACAGAATCGGAAACAGGCTCCAGGCTCTGAGCCATCAGCCCAGAGCCCGACGCGGGGCTCGAACTCACGGACCGCGAGATTGTGACCTGGCTGAAGTCGGACGCTCAACCGACTGCGCCACCCAGGCGCCCCTAATTTATTTTTTAAATATTTGTTTATTTTTGAGAAAGAGAGAACACTAGTGGGGGAGGGGCAGAGAGAGAGGGAGACATGGAATTCGAAGCAGGTTCCAGGCTCCAAGCTGTCAGCACAGAGCCCGATGTGGGGCTCGAACCCACGAACTTCGAGATTATGACCTGAGTTGAAGTCAGATGCTTAACTGACTGAGTCACCCAGGTGCCCCCACATGAACTTTTTCTTAACATGGAATTGAATTGTTGGTAGGAACACATACATGAAGTGTTTTACAGAATAAACTTTCCATCTTTTATTTTCATCTTAAACAGATATCCCACAAGCAAATTTTCGTCGCTTACCTTTTGATCACTGCAGGTAAGAGTTTTGAGTGTTTATCTTTCCCTCCTAGTTGTTTTCTGTTACTTAATGACATATTTTGACAGTGAATATGATTTTTGGGGATGCAGATGTGGGTTCTGTCTGTGTTCTCCTGTCTAGATCTTCCTTGAACTGAGAGAAGATGACCTAACAATGATAAGAACTAATATTTCTGCTCATTCGGTGTCTATGTATTTGCATTTTTTTTTCCAGCCTCTTTCTTGCCTTCCAAGGTAGGTAGACTCTGTTGTTTAGCCTACTTTACAGGTGAGAGGATTAATGTTTAGAAGTGGGAAGTCCCTCACCCATGTGTCACATCCAGGAAGTGATGCCATTGAGGCTTGGACCTGGTGGCCTGACTCCGGGCCCATGTCTTTCATGCTTTACTTTTGGTCCACAGTCTAAGCAGTAACAGCAGCAGCAACAGTCATGATACTGTGAACCCCTTCCCCCTTCCCTGCGAGCACAGGTTATTGGTGAGGATGAGGAGGGACCCAGCTGCAGAGCCACTCAGATGCTTCTTCCCACTGTGGTTGGTATGTGTATGAACAGGTGTGTCTGCTGGAGAAGTGGGGCTAAGGTTAATGAACCCTGAGACATTGGGGCTTTGGGGATTGGGCAGGTCCAATGGTCCATTTGGGCCTGAGTTTCTCCAAGCTCAAGCTGTGATCATCCTTGCCCTGGACACATGCTGTGTGTGTGTGTGTGTGTGTGTGTGTGTGTGTGTGTGTGTGTGTCCCATTGGGCATGATGAGCTTAAGAACTGACAAAGCTCTACTAGTGATCCCAGCACCCTGATTGGGGCAGGTCAGCCAGACACCATAGGGCGAGAAGGGTGCAGGGAAGGCCAGGGATGCAGCCACTGGGTCGGCTCCGAGAGGCTCCCATGTAGCGCTGAGTGAGGGCTTTTCCCTTCTCATAGCACTTGCTCAGGGAGGGTCAGCAAGTGAGACCCAGGCTTCATTGGTTGGATTTCTCCCCACCCCCACCAAGTTTTTGTCATCACCTTCATGGGAATGTGGTATCCTTCAGAGTGGGTATGAATGGATTTTATGGAAATATTTTGGTCCTTGGTTTCCAGTTCCTCCAAGAGGTCTCTCTAAGCTGTGTTTCATCTACTTTTTAACTACCTTGGGTTCTGGGTAAAAATGTACTTTGAGAATATGCCCTTCAAGGCCCATTTGGGAGAAGATGAATGTGCAGTGTCTTGCCGTTTGGAGCTTGCTTTGGTGCTGGGTCGTGTTCTCATCAGTCCCCTGCAGCACCAGCATCACCACTGGGTTAGAGCAGTGGTTGGACCAGAGGGGGAGGTGGTGAGGTTGCCCCATGGGAGCTTTCTGGAGCAGCATCTGGGGAGGTGATGCCATTGCCACCAGGCGGTCCAGGTCCAGAGGACTGGCCTGTGCCATCTGGGTGACCGAGGTGCAAACAAGCCAGGTCAACCAGGGCTCTTGATGGCTAGTGATGGAAACCTCATGCAAGAAAAAAGGGTATTGATATAAAGAAGCTCACCAGGTACTGTCTCCCCTCATCTGTGGGCTCTCCTTTTCCAAAGCCAACCCTCCTGAGGTGGCAAATGGCTTGTGGCAGTCTGGATCTCTGCACACCCCTCTACCCCCATATCCATGTATTAGAACTTACCCAGGGCTCCTAGGGCATCGGCTGTTGCCTGAGTCACGTGCCTGTCCCTTGGAAATGTTGGGCAACTGTGTGTACACTCTGGTCAGGAGCAGGCAGGGCACCCCCAGATCACAATAGCTCCACAGAGTCTCTTGGGATGCGAGAGGGTAGTTTTCAGTAGAAAAGTATGGCCTGCCTGCTATGTGAGGTTTTGGGGAGTCCCAAACCCAAACCCCCAACCTCTTTGGGGCTTGAATGTGATCACGTGTGTGTTATATGACACAGTAGAGAGTGTGGGGAGAACCAGGCTTTTGTCATTCCAGGGACCCTTGCCTTGTATTTATTGGTTTGTGTGGGGAGCTTCTGAGGGTCAGGGCTGTGGGGTCACCTCTGTACTGGCACCCAGCCCCGGCTGGGCAGAGGAGCACTGGTATTGTTGCAGGAATGAGGGAAGGAGGGAGGAGCAAAGGGAGAAGTCACGGGAATCACTGTATGACTTGGAGTGACTCTGTCCTTTCTTAGTCTCTCTCTGCAGCCCTTCGTCTACCCAGTCTGCACCCCCGAAGGAGTCGTCTTTGACTTGCTGTGAGTTTGCCCTCGACTTTTGAGCTAACAAAAGGGGTGAGGTTGTTGACACCCACTCAGCAAGGGGTTATGGGACCAGCTGGAGGGTTTGTGTCTTCAGGCCGTGCCACGCCAGGCCATACTGAAGTCTTGGCAACCTCGGGACCTGAGTGGGCCTCTTGGGGACCCAGGAGGGACTTCCAGGGCCTTAGGGATGAGATAGCAGTGCTGCTGTGACCCCTGGGCAGGCAACCTTGCTGGCAGATACTGCTGTCCCTGCCTGGGGTGGCATTGACCTCTCTACACACATGGGGGGTGGGGGGCTAGTGTTCTAATTGGCCTACCTATCCTGCTTTGGAATGTTAACAAACTGAGTACTTTCCACTTTATGAAAGTAGAGCCATAATTTAGGTACATACTTTCCCAGTGCTGTATTTTGAAGCATGTTGCTTAGTCTTTTTTTTTTTTTTTAATGTTTATTTATTTTTTGAGAGAGAGAGAGACAGAGATTGAGAGCACGCCAGCAGGAGAGGGGCAGAGAGAGAGAGGGACACTCAGAATCTGAAGCAGGCTCCAGGCTCTGAGCTTTCGGCACAGAGCCTGATGTGGGGCTTGAACCCACCAACCCTGAGAACATGACCTGAGCCAAAGTTGGACACTTAGCTGACTGAGCCACTCAGGCACCCCAATGTTTAATTTTTCAGAGACAGGGACAGAGACAGACAGAGGGCGAGCAGGGGAGGAGCAGAGAGAGAGGGAGACACAGAATCTGAAACAGGCTCCAGGCTCTGAGCTGTCAGCAGAGACCCAGATGTGGGGCTCAAACTCATGAACCATGAGAACATGATGCTTAAGGTCTTATGTTCCAACATAAACCAGCTTCTAAAACTTTCCTGTGTTTTAGTCTCCTTTTAGAAAATGTGGAAAATACTTGACGGTAAAAGGAAAAACTTACCATAATCACACTGTCAAGGATAACCATTGTCAGTACTTATATTCCTCTTTTTCTGTGAAGTTATTTATGGCAACATGGTTGAGGTAATACTGCAAGGATAGTTCTGAATCCATTTTTCACTCAGTTGTGTCATTCAGAGTTCTCTGGAAGTACACTTTTGTGTTGTTGTTATTTTTATTTTTAAGAAAGAGACAGAGGACAAGCGGGGGAGGGGCAGAGAGTGAGGGAGACACAGAATTGAAGCAGGCTCGAACTCACAAGCTGTGATATCATGACCTGAGCCCAAGTCAGAAGCTTAACCAACTGAGCCACCCAGGTGCCCCTGGAAGTATAATTTTTGATGCTGGCTCAGCACCTCATTGCACAGACGTATCAGCATTTATATATGTCTTTTTTTTTTGCTTGTTTATGTTGTTTATATGTAACCACAATAAAAACCCTGGACGTGTGTTGAAACCAGAAACACTCCCTTGCTTCCTTGGTCAAGGCTGGATGCTCCTCTTCTTGGCTTCTGCTAGCAGACGTGAAGTAGAGCAAAGCCTGTTCGTAGCCCTCACCTGGACGCAGCCCTCCTAAGCTGTGGCCTCCTCACCAGCCTGCACCTGACTGCCTTACTGACACTGTCTCTTCTCTTCCCTTCAGTAACATCGTCCCTTGGCTTAAGAAGTATGGGACCAACCCCAGCAATGGAGAGGTAGGTGGCCGGGCAGGAGTTTAAGTGATGCCAGTGAATGCTATCCTCTTGTCTGACCTTTTGTTCTGTGGTTTTCATGTACATGCAAGCGCGGTAGAGGACTGTTCACGAGGCATGGTGAGCGGGACTGTCCTCCTCCCCCTTCCCCACATTGTTTCTTTCCAGAAATGTTCCCTACGTGCACACGCATGTGCATAAACGTACATCTTCTTTCCTTGGGCCATGGTTGTAATCACAGGCACGAACTCCTCTGTACTTGCTCTCCCCCCTCCCCCACCCCCGCAGTGTGTTGAAGACCTGAACATGGGTGCATAGAGCCCTGCTGCGTTCTGTGGTGGCTGCATGCGTCCTCCTGTAGGGAGGACATGTGCTGCTGAAGCACATCTGAAGTCCCCTGCTGTTACTAACAGCAGATAGGGACTACCCTTGTGCACGTTTCTTTGGGCACACATGGGAGTGTCCTTCCAGGACGGCTGGGTCACAGGGTGGGAGTATTTTCAGTTTGGGTAGCTACTGGCAAATTGTCCTCCAGAGAAGTTGCAAACGCCTGTTTCTTCATACCCTCAACAACCATGGATATCATCAATTTTTTAAAAAATTTTTGTTGCCTCAGAGTGAAAACACTTTTTAACTTTTTTTTTTTTAAGATTTTATTTTTATGTAATCTCTACACCCAGCGTGGGCTTCGAACCCACAACCCTAAGATCACGGGTTTCAGACTCTACTGACAGAGCCAGCCAGGTGCCCCTTAATTTGTATTTTTATCATGAGTTAGGTTAAGCAGGTATTTATATGTCGTGTATACAGGTCCAATGACACGAATTCTGTGTTGCTCAGGAAGAGGTTCCCAGAGCCAAGTTCCACCTTATTCTCCTCTTTTGCCCCCCACTGCACACCTCCATCACAAACCTGTGGTGTTCCTGTATTTTACACATTCTGTTGGTCCCTTTTCTTCTGAGAGGTCTCTCTCCTTCCCTCACACTGCAGCCCAGGCCCATTTCTTCATTTCTTCATTTGCGTCGTTGCATCCATTTATTCAGCGTGGTGGTAGCCTGTGCTGTGTGCAGGGCCAGTGAGACGTGAGCTGTGGAGGCAGAGGTATTCACCGACAGGCAGGCTGGGGGTGGGGGGCTTGGGGAATGTCTGGAGCAGCGCAGCGCCATTGAAGCTGAGACCTGGAGACGGAGGGGGATGGGGAAATGGTGGCAGATAGAGGCACATGGGCGGTCGGGGGAGGCTTGGAGGCCGTGGGAGGAGCGTGAGTTTGTTCTGGGGG